AATTGTTCATTACCAATTGTTCATTACTTCATAATTACATATATATATATATATATATTTTTTAGATTCCTGTAGAGTCGTTCTACATAATTTACAGTAACGCATCTCTTATATATAAATATGTATTATGTATGTTTATATAAATAAAAATTTGCAAAGTTAATAATACACAAATAATTTTAGTTATAGTAATATTTCAAAAATGTTAAAAAACTTGTTTTGTATGAGAATGGAAACGAGTCAATAAAGAGGAACGACTAAAACGATTTACGGGATGTCGGCCACGAATTTCCAGGTGCTCGTACTGACAACGCAGGTGCAAGCCCACGAATCGTTCTTGAAAACGTATCGTCGGAAATACACGTTCTCTCCGTATGTTCAAAGAGGAGACTTTTCGTCGCGATAATCAACGATTAGAGACTTCCCTTCGCGTGACTCCTCGGCACGATCAATCTCGCGAAAACAACGCGGTTTTACGAGAATCGTCGCACGCGACCGGATCTATCGAGTCTCCTAACGAAAACGTAACTTAAGTTGAACGTGCTAGCGAACGTGCTAGTGAGAAGAAGGAAGAGTTAGTTATCGTAACACAATGTTCTGCATTCAAGTGAATTCTCCATTTATCGTATATAAAATCATTTATTACGAATCGTTAGATTTTTTCTTTTTAAATGTGTCTTAAAAATCAAGATACATTGCAACTTCTACGTGTGTATAAAAAACGAGTATAATATGTCAAAGTAAAGACATAAATCTGATGAAAACATTAAATTTATTCATTTCAATCGTTCTTATTCCATGCGATTTAATGAGATGAATGTAATTTATCTAACAGTTTCTCACGGTATATTTCTTCTTGTTGCAAAATGGTATCACCTACGGGATAGATACATTTAATTTGTCTTAGGTACAGATGCGAGATGTTCGAACGGACATACGGACATTGAAGATGTAAGAAACTTCGTTAATCGCTTTGGTTCTCTTCTTCGCTCGTTCTCTCCTTCTCCTTCTTTTCTTCTATCTCTTCGAAGAAGGAAGAAGAAAAAACGTTGAATCATCTCTTCATCGGCGGGTCGAGGTTTTCAAGCTTTTTCGAATGACGCGCGAGCGCTAATGAACAAGATGTTATGCGAGGATAGCGCGTTGCAACGCGCGGAAAGTGATACACAGAAGTACCTGCGCCGTGTATAAAAGGTATAGACCGGTTATGCGAATATTGTTACTTCGTCATCCTCGAGAACGTTGAAAAAATATAACCGACTCAGTCTACATATATGCTTTTTCCTTTGGCTTCTTACAGTTTATATTCTTTATTTGTAACAACATCGAATGACGTTCTAAAGAAAACGTACGAATGGATAAATGAACGAACCGATTTTACTGGGATACTTTGATTTAACACTTTCGAGTGAGACTTTATGAGATATTACATGCAAAAATTTTGAAAGAATGCGAGAACGCGTGAAAGTCGATCGTCGTTTCTATTGAAAAGTTAAATGTGAAAAAGTAGCTAATTAACAGAAACGTGCTACGCAGCCAATTAGCTCGAAAGTGTTCGCGAAGGATCGTGCATATTATCGGAAGTAACATCGACTGCTCGAGTCTCACTGCGTGAAGGTTACTAGGTAGTTATACTAATTTGCCTATCTAACGTAAGTACGAAAAAAAAAAAAAAGAAAAAAAGAAAATTAAAAAAAGAATAAATCATCTTTGTTATAAATCGACGCTACCCCTTCGTTTATATTCCTCGTTTATGCATTTAATTTTTATTATTTTTATCCATTTCTTTATTTTTTTTTCTCCATTTTGTCGAACAATGCGGGTACCACCTGCTCGAAGTCGCGCGCTTCTGTCGCGTTCCTCCTTCCTCTGAGAAGCTATTTTATTTTTATTAAACGTAACTACGAGTCACTCGATGAGTGCAAAAATGTGTACGCAAATCGCACGATGAATCGGCTGATTTCGTGAACAAGTCAAATAGCTTTCATGGAACTTAGTGGAAGAGAAAACATTCTTGACTCGTATCGATCGAAGAAGGGTGATTATGAGGAAATTGGCCTGTTCCTATCTAATTCGATTGTTTTGATGTAGATTTTAGATACATATAACTATATATAAGTATATATATATATATATATATATTTTTTTTTTTTCAGTTAATTATATCACTCAAAGGAACAACGAGATCATTATTATTTCATTATTTCATTAGTTATTATAGTAACTACCTTTAATTAAATTAAATTAAAACATAGACATCAACTTTAGAAATCTTTCATAGAAATCCTTCTTGTACAACTCGAAAATTTATTATGATAAATATCATATATAATCAAATGAACGTATATACCACTTACTTACATACTCTTGATAAAAAGGAAAATAATAAAATAAAATAAAAGAGAAGAAGAAAACGTAAAGAAGTTTAAATAGGTACGATCGGCGCCGAGTAATTAGCGTCCGTGGATATGTTGGACACGTGTGTAAACGTAGTGCGTGTGTACAGATGACACAGTCGTTCGATTGAGAAAGAATACGCAGCTTAGAATTACTAATTTTCTGACAAGCCTAACGCGAGTTACGCGCACACACGTTCGGAGGAAGCGCTGCCGTGAGATGTTTATCGAGGAAGCTCCTAACGAACGTCTCGCTTATACCTCGACGTACAATATGTATCTCCTATGTATGAATAACTTCTCCGATGGCTTTGTAGCTTCTCTTCGCTTTCCATGCTCCGTCGCGTCCCCACTATTTAAATCTTTATGATAGAGTAGGGTATGCCGTGTACAATCCGTCTTGCTCTCTATAGAATATGCATATTGAATCATTGAAATTGATGGAGAAGAATGTGCGATACGATACCAGTATTTTTTCAATGTACGATTTGCCTTTTAAATTTTATTTATTTCTTATACCGTTATGCTTATGAAAAATAAAAATGTGAAAGATGAAACATGTGTACAATGTAGTAGATTTCATCTAAACATATCTCATTACCCAAAGAAATTAATTAAATTAATATATATATATATATATTATATATATGTGTGTATATATATATATATATGCAAAAGTAAACATTGGTATTGCACAGTTAATCTACCTGTAAATATTGAACACTTGAATGTTAGTAGTAATAAGTTTATTGACCTTCACACATTGATGAAATACTTCGTAGATATTCTGTAGATCATCAACGAACTGCTTCGTAGACCTCTATAGATCTTTGATGAACTATTACGTAGACATTGTTTTCTGTCTATATTACAAATTCATATTCATTTTTATTATTAATACATTATATATAAATTGTTGAAATTATTATAAAAAGATAATTTTGTAATGAATATAAAATTTATAATATTCTTCGATATTTTAAAGTTAAATTATCAATTTTCGTGAAAAAACTGTGTTGATTGGAGCGCCATCTGGTTTTATTTTTAGGAAGCTTTGTCAATCAGCATTGTATCAAAGAATTCATGACTGTATGGTCACCGTATGTAAAACCAGTTACATGTAATTTATAATTTCTCTTTTTATATAATTAGTAAACAAATTAAAGTATGAGTATTGCAAGTGAATGTATTCAACTTTCAAGTGGTTATAGTATGCCACTTATTGGAAGTGAGCATGCTTCTAAAATAAGATATAATAATATTGATAACTTAAAAATTTTTTTTTTTTATCAACTACAATAAATTTGATTAAAAACATATGAAATATATATTGTATTACAGTAATTATTTTATTTGCTGTATGTTGCATTTTCAGTTGGAACTTATAAAATACATGGCAAAGAAACTATTTATGAGGTAATCGATGAAAGCTTGAAAGTAGGTTTTAAATCGATTGGTAAGTCTATTGAATGATGTATTTATATTTTCTTATTTATAATAATCTTAATATTCTAATTTAAAATTCTCATATTTTTATATGATTTGATTCTTATTGTTCAGATACAGCAGTAGTATACAGGAATGAAGAAGATATTGGAGATGCTTTAAAGGAATTATTGCCTAAATATAATCTTAAAAGAGAAGATATCTTTATCACTACTAAATTAGGTATGATTTCAAACAAGAATCTTTGTTTTTTTTTTTTTATAGTAATATTGTAATAATAATTGTTAAATATTAAATTATATTTATTTTTTTTTTTTTTATAAAGCACCTACTGAAAATGGAGATCCGGAAGGTATACAACGATCCATTTTAAAATCTCTCAAATCTCTTGGTCTTTCTTATATTGATTTATATTTGATACATTGGCCTGGAGCTTCACGTATTCCTGAAAGTTCTCAACAAAATAAAGATTTGCGTGATTGTACCTGGGAAAAACTAGTAGAACTACAAAAACAAGGTTTAATAAGATCTATTGGTGTTTCTAATTATACTGTAGATCATTTAAAACAATTACTGAATAATTATTATGGTGTAAAACCTACAGTTAATCAAGTATGTTAGATGCAATATCTTTTAATCTAATGTTCATCATTATATGATGTATTTATTTTTTTATCCTGAATATATAGGTAGAATGTCATCCACATTATCGTCAAGAAGAATTAATTAAATTTTGTAATGCGGAAGGAATACATATACAAGCATATTCCTCTTTAGGTACAAGTACCAATACGAATCTTCTTAAAGATCCTGTTGTTAATGATATTGCTTCAAAACTTAATGTATCTCCAGCAAGATTATTATTGAAATGGGCTTTACAACAAGGCATTGGTAACTGTGCTATTACTAATATTAATTATTGTCAAATATTATTTATAAAGTAATTTTATTTTGTAATTCTTTTAGGTGTCATTCCTAAGGCTGTAAAAAAAGAACATATACGAGATAATATAAATTTAAATTTTATTATTGATGCAAAACAAATGAAAATTTTATCAAATCTCCCACAAATTAAATATACATGGGATCCAAGAAATGTTTATTAATAAAATTAAGCGGATAAAAATAATATATTTAATTATAAATTATATCAGTTAATACGATTATAAGTATTAAAAAAGCACAATGAACGATTTTCCGAATAAAGTAGCAAAACTTTGTATTGAAAAATATAATGGATTAAAAAAAAGTGGAAAACCAACAGATAACGAATGGACGATATTGTCAGGAATCCTTTTGAAAACAGAATGTGAATCTTTGTCTGTAGTATCACTTGCTACAGGTACAAAGTGTTTAGGAGAGTCTGAATTGGTTAAAACTGCTCCGCACGAAAGAGGTTCTAGATTGAGTGATTCTCATGCAGAAATACTCGCAAGACGTGCCTTTTTACGTTATTTGTACGATCAAATAGATATTGTATTAAATGGTTTTAAAAGTAATATTTTATTCCTGAACAAAGAGAATAAATTAGAAATGTATCCTAGCATATCATTTCATTTTTTCTCCAGTCAAAGTCCTTGTGGAGATTGTTCTATATTTCCTAAGAATGACATAAATGAGGAAGAATGTCCTACAAAAATTAGAAAGATAATGCATGATGATAAAGAAAAGATGACATTAGAATTATCTGTTAGTGAAACAAATACAGACATACACAGAACAGGAGCAAAATGCTTAAAAACTGAACAACATCAAGATCCCAAGTTACCGGGAGCTAATTATCATATAACTGGTCCATTACGAACAAAACCTGGTAGAGGAAATCCCACATTAAGTTTATCGTGTTCAGATAAAATGGCAAAGTATGTGATAAATAATTTACCTAGAAATGTAATAACTGAAGAAAGAATATAATTATATATTAGATATATCATAATGTTGTAGATGGAATATTATTGGAATACAAGGTTCACTTTTATCATTGTTAATTTCAAGAATAAAATTGGAAAGTATTACTATTGGTAGGGGCTGCCCTTTCTCACTAGAAGCCATGGAACGTGGTTTATCTAAAAGATTTAATAATAAATTACATATTCCTAAAATCTTTCAAGCAGACATTGCTTTTGCTCAGAGAAAAGAAGGAAAAAGAATAAATCCATGTCCATCAAGTATCATATGGTGTGCTGTGAGAAACAGGTTTATATTTTTATATATATGTATAAAACAAAAATCTGTTGTAAACGATAATAACAATAGCAGTAATAATTCATAAAATATCTACAGTGATTTAGAAATAGCGGTACAAGGCAGAAAGCAAGGAGTAACTAAAAAGAAGAAGGGCCATAACTTACTTATTAGTAGACGTGCTCTTCTAGAAACATGTTTAAAAATTTGTGATAATTATAAAAATATTAAAACGGATATATTCCATCCAAAGAAAATTACATATTATGATTGCAAGCAATTTTCTGTTCAATATCAAAATACTTGGAACCAATTGAAGAGAGAATTGTTTATTTCTTGGCCAGATAAACCATTGTACTTGCAAGATTTTATATTGTAAAAATAACGTATAATATGTTGAAAATATATATGTAGGTAATGAATATATGTACAATTTTTAATAATTTTGTATTTACAATTTAGAAATTAGAAAAATGCTATATTTTAAAAAATATTTCTAATATAAATATTTTACAAAGTACGTTTACTCAAATTAGTATAACCTATACCAACACAAGTCAACATTACTTGCTCCTTTATTTCATCTTCTTCTTTAATAGGCTCAATTTTAAAAACTGTACCGAGAAAATCTCGTAAATCTCTTAAAAATTGTATCCTATACAAATATAATTAAATCATTAGTCTATTATACATTGTTTACAATAATATACTACTTACATTGATTGGGTTAAAGGTCCTGTTACAATTTTAGACACATCCTTTTTACCAAGTACCATAAACATTGCTGCCATACTTTGAAATGGAGAATCCACACATCCATTTCTAGAATTAAGTTAGACGGTGTGTTTAAACATTTATTTTAATTTCTTTAATATAAAAATCAAATATAAATTCTTTTTATTTTTACCGATAAATTTCATCAAGTAAAATCATAGCTGCTTCTTTTCCAAGATCTTCTGGTACACAAGGTAAAGAACCTGTTATCATTAAAGGTGAACAAGCTTCTCCACTGAGAAAAATGCCATTGGTTGTTTCAGCTGTCAAGCTTATTGCAAAACCTGATGTATGTGTAATTTATATTATAGCAGCATAAAATATTAAAAATGATAAACTTATTAAATAATATTTGATAAATACCTGGTGATTTGCCACTAACTGCACCTCTACAATGATCCGTATGTATATATATATCTGGTAAAAATTTTAACAATACGCCTTTGGCTGATTCAACCATACGATTGGCAATTGCTGGTGAAACACGTACGCTACAAGAAACTCCTCTAATACGTTTTACCATACCACTATTTTGAAGCTACGAATAATAAATATATAAATTTATAGAAGATAGAATAATATCAATTTTGAAATAATATATTTTATATAGATATATATCTATATAATATATATATATATATATATATATATATATATATATAATAATATATAATATATATATATATATCTATATAATATATATATATATATATATATATATATATATATAATAATATATAATATATATATATATATAATAATATATACATATATATATATATATATATATGATATATATCTATATAAAATATAACGATGCTTGAAAATAAAAATTACCTGTACAGATTTGAGAGTACGACAAAGTGGACATTTGAAATGTATTTCTCCACCTCCTAACGGTGCCATTCCTCTCTTTTTAATAGTAAGTTCAATATCTGTATCTACTATAAATCTTTTTAACAATGGTATACATGCTGCTTTAATTCTATCCACAGATGGATCTGTTTAGAATATATAAAAGAAATGTCATAAAAAGATAAACTGTGTTATATACTTGCACTTAAAAAATTACATACCCAATGTATTACTCGTGACTCCTCTAAGTTTGATATCGATAGGTTTTTTACAAAAAGGTCCTAAAATAATGACAGCTTCTAAATAATATCCAATTCCACGCTGCAAGCTACAATCATGTTCTAGCTCTCCGCCATTTAATAATCCAGGATTATAATATAAAGAAGTACCCGTTTCGTTTAATTCTACTCTAGTACCATTAGTAATTTTATCCAATAAACGTATGAAGCTTATCTCATATTCTATAACAATATATACTATGTATTAGTATACAATTTAATTTCAAGCAACACATGTATAACCTCAAATCTAACCTTTTAATCCAGGATCATCATCTTTAGTTCTAATATTAATAATACGTACTGGTTTTCCTGACAATGTTGATAATAAAAGACGATATCTTAAATAATTACACCCTTCATATATTAAAACCTTACTTTGTACTTTTGCCGGCATATTTAATATAAATTAATATGTACACACAACATTCCATTTATAGTTTGGAAGTGAATATGACTCTACCAGTATTCGTTGATTTTCTTCGATTACAAGTTTTGTTAATTAATTATTCTATTGAATACTTCATATATTATAATTTTTCACAAATTTTTTTTTAGAATAATGTACTAGTATCATAAAATAAATATTGTTAAAAGTGATATTAGTTATTAACTTTGTTATCATTAGCGTAGTCATTTTCAAATTTATATGAGATGTCTTAAGCAGTACCTGCGATTCAATATGGCGTTCCGATATTTAACAATTCTACGTACGATTAATTTCATTAATAAATGGAGAAAAAATAGATAGATAATAATAATAGTAATAATAATAATAATAATAATAATAATAATAATAATAATAATAGTATTAATAATAATAATAATAATAATAATAGTAATAATAATAATAATAATAATAATAATAATAATAATAATAATAATAATAATAGTAATAATAATAATAATAATAATAATAATAGTAATAATAATAATAGTAATAATAAGTCCAGAAAATTTTATCTTTTGAAACCTAGTCCTTTTCTTCGACTTTTTGTATCAACTAATAATTGTGCTTGTCTTTTCAAAGTATTTCTCGTTGGGACTTCTTCTTCGTCTTCCGAAAGTGGTATCGCTGAAGATGTCCATGTTGGAAATTTCGAAAAGAGTGGAACATTTTCAACGCGTATAGCTTTGCCTTCTAATGAAGTTGTGATAGACATTGTTTCAAGCTATAAGGTATGAGTACAATTCTATGATATATTTTTGAAAATGATTAATGTAAGAAGATTTTTTTGAAACATTCTAACCTTTTCCGTTAATACATCGTCAAATATTTCAAAGTACACGTCCTGTTTGTCAAAAGCATCGGTAAGTTTTTGAGCAATTTCATTCAACAACGATAATAGCTTCGTTGAGTCGGCTGGTATGGTTAAATTTTCTTTATCGATGGTATTAGAATCCGTTGTACTCTATAAAAAGAAAGGAAAGTTAGTACGAACACATACACACAAGCAATTTATTCAAATAGAAAGAAACGTATATTAGGTTGGCTAATGCCGGAATTTGCACTATTTTATATTTAAACAAATAACATTAGTATTTTAAAAATTTTATTTTTATTTAAAATTTTATTTTACTATTGTCGTTATTTTTTTATTTAGATATAAAATATTGAAAATTATGACATTACTTATTAGCCAATTCAATAAATATATAAGATGAATCGTACTACATGGCTATTATCTTTATTTACTTCAAAATTTAAAAAAAAGAAAAAAAAAGAAAAATTTTTCTGCATATATATCGAATGCATATTTTATGATATATTTTACGATGATTTTAGATATATTTTACATCATGATATAGGCGTATATGAAATTTACATACAAGTATGTATTTTTACAAATTTGTATATAATACATATTGTATTATCTCTATGGGTTAAAGGTTAAAGAATACATTGACCCTATCGTTGGTTAGACGAACAGCGCGAACGAATTTGAAGTTGAATTAACAAGTCAAACTTCCAGGTATGTATCTTGTACCATCGATAGAATCAATATTCGATTTTTCACTCGTTCCCTGCCGAACTATTTGTTTTCGATCGAGTACGAAGGTGTTAATGCATCGCGACGAGGTGAGAATTACAGCTCGGAAGCAGTTCGAAAGAAAATCCATTGGTTCTCGATATATAGGCTTACTTTCAGGATGTTAAACTCAAAGGATAAATGTTTGGTTCTAACGTACGAAGAGAACCCCATTTATAGCAGTGGACGTCATTAAAGGTGGTTTCACTAATTTAATTAGTGATCTACACGTTATTTCCATCGAACCTTCGCTTCGATGCGAGTATACCGAAGGGTCAATTCGATTTTCGGAATGCCTTTCATGACCGACGTGTTAATTCTTCGTAGGGTTTTACAATCGTGCTTCGAATATGTTAAGCGTTCTTCGTGTGAGATACGCATATGATTAGCCGTCGATCTATCTCGTCGTGATATTCGAAAGATTATTTTTTTTGATTTCGAGATAAAAAGATCGGCATTCTTTAAGAATAATTTATAAAGGGATACATTAGAAAGATCTTGTCTTTTTAATGTTAAATTATTTAGATAGAAAAATCGCGTTCAAGATAAAAGGTATTCGAAATGACCTTTATTTTTCTTTGTAACACATTGAACTTTAAACTTTGGAGTTTTTAAGTCTCCTTTTTTACTTTCTTTCTTTCTTTCTTTTTGTTTTTTTTGTTTCTTTTTTGTTTTTTTTTTTTTAATGTATATAAATCGTATACGTCGTATAATTCATGCACGTATAAATGTAATAAATGTAATTTCAGTATTGCTTCTACTTGTTTCAAATACAATCAATCGATACATATTTATGAGCGATTACTGTAAGATAATAACTTACCGGTTGCATGGTACGCCTACGGCGTTTAGATTATGATCGAGAAAACGGAGAATGCTACTCGTTAATAATCAAAATGTTGAAATTTCTTTTGTAATTAGTATCGTGTTTTAAAAGCTATTACTCACTTGCAATTTGTCGAACAATTTTTCTAATACTTTGGTTATTTGCTTTAAAAGTTCTCTGATTCGTTCGCATTCAGTTTCTGCTTTCATCTGACGGGCACGTTCCTCTTCCATGTTTTTATTGAATTTTTCTGTCTCTTCAGCGTTTCTATAATCAATTTTTTGTCGTTGGTTTTTTCTTTTTTTTTTTTTTTTTTTTTTTTTTTTTTTTTTTTTTTTTTTTTTTTTTTTTTTTAATAAATTTCGTAAACTCTGAATTTCATAAATAATATCTATAAATAAAACTCACTCTTCGGCATTTTTTGTTTCGGTAAATTTTCGAGTTTCAATCTCGCTCAACAACTCTTGTCTTTTTCTGTCGAGATCCATTTTTTCATCTTCCATGTTGGTCCTCATTTTTTGAAGATTCTCTTTGGTCGTCCGTTGTCCTAGAAACCGGTTTAAAATGTCCTCCGACATGGAGACACCGGTAACATTGCGTAGCTTGGCAAACGCTTCCTCCAATCGTGTCAATTCTTTCTTTGTTATTTCGTTCTTTGTTATTTCGTTCTTTGCATCTTGTCCATAATTCATTGCTTGTACAGAATCGTAATCCTCTCGTAGACGAACAGGAAAGATCGTTCTTTCTAATCTTTCTAATTCACCTTTTCTTTCCTTGACACGTTTCCTTTAAATTCGAATAGAATCAAATCTAAAGTATCCATATGAATTTTTATAAAAAAGATCATATAATTTTTTAATATAATATTTTTATCTAACATATTTTTATTACGAACCTGTAATCTTGAATAATACTCTCTTGTTCGTTACTATTATTAACTATTTCGATTTCTTGTTTCATGAGTTTTTCTTGCATGCTGTATTTCAATTCGATAGCTTCTTTCTTTACTACCTGAATGTAACGAATTAATTTACTTTAGATAATATAATATTTCATTAAATTTTCATTAATTGTAAAATATGAATTATACTCGTAAACGTTTAATTTCATTTTCGTGTTCTTTTATATCATCTTCTAACTCTTTCAATGAAGAAGCATAAGTGACTGATCTTTGTTTCAATTTGCAATGTACGGATTTATATTTTCTTCGAACTATATTTGCTTTTATTATCAACATTCTCATTCGCTCAAGTTGAACCTCCAGACTTTCTGTTTTCTATTGAAAATTAAGAGTTTCGATCAAATCGATGATTAATTTGATAAAATAAAAAAGTTTATACCTTTCTCAAAGGATCTTCTAATTTTCTTTTAAATATTTTCCGTTTATTTTCTCTTAATAATTCTTTATGTTCTTGCAATAATATTTTTAACCTTTGCCTTTGCTGATGAAACAAATGTGGTTAAAAAAATAAAATGCTATACTTGTCGATTTATAATAATTAACGATTTCTTACCTTATCAGATTGATACTTTAACAAATCTTTCGTTTTTCTCAATCGTATGTTCTCTTCATTAATCTTTTTTAATGCTTCATCCAAGCCATGTTTTCTTACAACAGCCGAAGTTTCACGACTAATTCGAGCCGTTCTTTCAGCTACATCGTCGTTCTTAAAAATGTTAGATTTATTATTAATACGCATTGAAATTGTTTTAATATAAAATTCTTACATTTTTGGTTTTAGAATATTCGACGTATAAATCTTTTATATCTTTCCTAAGGGAGATAATTTTTTCTGCATTTTCATGCTTTTTTGTCTCTGTTTCTTCGAAATTAGCCTTTCTCTGTCCCTCTGTGAAAAAGAAAAAATATAATGAATTTTTAACCAATCGTAACAATAATTGTACTAATAGATATACCTTTCGAAACATTATGGATAATATTAAGAAAATTAATCGAAAAGAATATTATGAAAGACAATCATTTCTTAAATTAAAATTATGCTTTTTTGCGTTCATCGTTGTTACATCAAAGAATATTCTTGCACATTATCGAGTTTATATTCGTATCGTTGGAAACGATTTCCTGGATTTCGATGAAGGAATGTCTAGGATCGTTGAAAAGGGTATTTCGTGATAATAGAGCGCGCTTGCGACAGAGCTAACTATAAGGAAACAAGGAAGCTACATAAAAGAGAGAGAGAGAGAGAGGGAGAGAGAGAGAGAGAGAGAGAAAGAAGGATATTCTTTTCTCTTTGTGAATCCGCCGAAAAACGATTAAATTGTCGTTGCCATTTTCTGCAAAAGAGATGAGCGCTTAGCTGGAGGGTATTCACTAATGACAGGTTGTCTTCGTTTTGCTAGGTGAGCGTAGCTACTCGATGGAAACTACTCGGGCGGTATATGTCTAAAAAGTGAGAAGACAAGAAAAAAAAGATAAATAACTATATTCCAGAGCCACGAGTGATATGATAATTCGATCTTTATTTCTAAAAATTTAAATATGTTTCTTTTTTTTTTTTTTTCTTGAATCTTATTTCTGTCTTTTTAATAATAACAATTGAAAAAGAAAATATTTAGATTTTGCATTAATGTTTTTAATCGATCCGTGTTCATTTTTTTTAACTTCGAATAAAACAATATTTTTTCGTTCAAAGTGGTTTAATTAAATTGAAATAAAAATAAGAAATGTGATATTGAAAAGATAATTATTATTTAAAGGATTATTATTATTTCATCGAAATTGATCCGGAAATTAAAGTTCGTGTATGTCGATCGAACGTATTATAATCGATACACCAAGCAAGTGTTTGAGGAAAAAAACCTCTTCCTGCCAATTGTCACTCTTTCAAACTCTCCAAGTAAGATAATCGTCCGACGATTGCCGGCATCCTGTGTCTTCGTATAAAGTGCCGCCATTCGATCGACGATCTTCTTTCTTATTTTTTTTTTGTTTCTTTTTTTTTTTTTTTTAACTCTCTCTCTTTTTGTAACACTTGATAGGGGGAAAGTATCCTTTCCGCGATCATTGAACTCATTTTTTATATACTGATACAAATCTAATATCATTAATACCTGACAATTGTATCTTCTTTTTAATTTCCACGATCTTCTTGTTCAAATCATGAAGTTTCTTTTCTTCGGTAGATCCCAGTGTTGAATCAGACATACTTACGGATGTTTGATTCGCAGTGAAATGCACGTGTTCCTAACTATCGATTTAACAAAATACGTCGTCCTAACGACGTAAAATGTGATACAATGATTCTCTGACCAAACTGACGTTATGAAGACTCTAAAATACCATTTAAATATATCCAAAGTGAAAGTAGATTAAAAGGTAAGGTAACTCGTAAAATAGGATAACTACGTCTTTGGAGCAAAGTCATACTAGCTGCAAGAAAACAAGTCATCGAGTCATAAATTAATAATAAATTATGTTCATACGTATCACAGGATAAAATAGATCGTTCCAAATTACTTTTACAACTTTTCCCTACCGATTCACGTGAATTATTTATGCTGGATCATACAAGATATTACGAGATGATGAATCTTTTGAATGAAATGGAATCTCGTGTGCCGTTACTTGCGTTGATATAATAACACATTGAATGACCTTACAAATGCAAATTCACGATTTTACGATGACGAAGTCGATGCCTTCGATAAGAATAAGAACTAACGATTGCTATACCGCGTATATTTTCACATACAAAGGGCGAGGCAATTCGTAAAGGCTCGTGGTATCTCTGTAGAAACTCGCAGAGAGGACTGCGAAATTATAATTTCGCATTTGTATTCGTTAAGGTACCGGCCTTACCGTGAGGCAGTTAACACCGGCGATGAATTTCGCTTAACACGCAATCAAGGGATGGAAGGTTAATTAATGATCTTACCAGTACTCACGACTTTTGCTCCAGCACGCTGCTGGTAGGAATTTTCTAGCGCCTACATTTCGATGCGTAACACCAATAGTTTTTATTTCCAAAAGGAGAGGAAAAAAAATATCTTCAATCGTTTGTCTCCTCTGTCTCTCTCTGTAGTCCCTTGAAATTACGACAATTTATATCTTATTTTTGAAAAGGACAACAGAAATTTCGTAATACTGTTTTATTTGTTATAAATAAATCTGATTGGTTTTCAATCTGTACAAAATTGATTCGTGATCAATATATAAAGTCATTTATAATCTTGACTATTTATGAGCTTGAAAGTTTAAAATTGCGTAATATTTAAGAAATTTGTCGATGGATGATTGGCTTGAATTTATTTTTTACTTCGAAACGAGTAACAGCAATTTCGTCATTTTATTTTTACGAAACATACGAAATTAATCCAAGTTATTTTTGGAAAATTATTTCTAATAGTGATTAAGCTAGAAAGTTAAAAGATTGTAAATCATTAACATTTTCTGGTTGACATGGATTTATATTTTATATCAAACTGAGTAATAAAGTTTTTACGCATTGAAAGTAAAATCATTTATAAAATCGTTTCTAATCTTGACCGAGTTTGAAAGTCAAAAAGTGTGGTATTTAAAAAATTTCTTAACAGATGGTTGACATAGAAATAGGATAACAAAATGTTTTCCTCGTTCCAATACGACGTACGTATCTTTCTCGCGACTTTACGTAACGAAATAGAAAGTAATCGGAAAGCAATCGCCATGCTGCAAGGCGGCGCTTGTTAAAGAATCTTTTCTCCGCGTGCGCTAATTAACGCACTTGTTAGCAAGACAATTAGATCAACGATGTTTCTTTGCTCGTTCACATGAGATTAACGCAATGTCCCGATAAGAAGGAAAGGGTAACAGGAAATACATAATTAATGCATCTATCGCATCTCTTACAATGAGCTTTGATTCATTAAGGATCCACAAGTAGCTCGTACTTTCATTATCCTCATTTTAGCTCGAAATTCAAACGATTATTTAAAACAAAAATAATTTTAATAATATAACTATGCCTAAATTATAAACGTTCGCATTTTGCTCGAGGAATAATGAAGCTTCAAATTGTAAATTGTCTCAATGTCCTTGGAATATGTTGTATGGCATAAATAAAATGCAAAAGAAAAAAGAAAAGAGAGAGAGAAAAAAAAAAGAAAAGAAAAGAACGAAAAAAGAAAGAGACAACAACAAAAGAGGGATAAATACGAACCGTGGCGAAATTCGAAAAAAACGCGAGAGTAAGATAGAACTCTGAAGGTAGAGCGTAGTAAATGCTCGTTCCAGCATACTCCAATGGTGATTGGCCGATGGTGCCGGCCATTGCGGCACAGCGTAAGGATACACTGCCGGAGGCAGGTGCGCGCGCATCCGGGGAACTACTTTCAGCGCGTTAAGGGAACAATAGGGGATCCCAGAAGTGTTTCGGACGCGGTCGTGTTCGTGTACGATCGACGCATGCTTTTTTCTCGTACTGTCGTGCGCGCGAACGTGCTACATACTGTCGCTGCTTGATTGTTTTTGGACGTAAAACGAAAGTAATAAGAAGAAAAGAGCGAAACGAACGATGCGTTGGATCAAGAGGTGGTACGCGTGTCTTATAATCGAGTGAAGAGAAGTGTGCTTTATCCTATAACTTGTATTCCTGTCGATCTTTCCTTCTTTCTATATTTCTTCTTTCTCTGTTTATTTCTCTCTCTCTCTCTCTCTCTCTTTTTCTTTCTCTCTTATTTTCCTTTTCCATCGGTATTTCTCTCTCTCTCTCTCTCTCTTTCTCTCTCTCTCTCTCTCTCTCTCTTCTCTCGGTCAGTGTGTGCACGCAGGAGGCCCGATGAGTGTGTGTCTAATCGACGTATGTGGATAAAATCGACGGCACCATGTTGATGCTGCTGCTGCCACGACGTAAATTGGATTACAATTTGAGCAGGAGCGTGTGGTTTCCAACGGTGCTGTTGCTCCTTTTCTCATTTCTACCAAATGTGTCCGGTAAGTGATATATCATTGTTTTGTGATATGTGTTAGTTGTGTATCTATCTTTTAGTCGGAGAAAGAAACCGCGAAAAATATGAAAAGCTCGCGAGTGTGCGCAGTGTTTCGAGAAAGCGTGCAGGGAGGTGGTCGCAAAGTGGTGGCTAGGCAACAGGTCGGTTTCAATGACGCCGGCGCGTCGTCATGCCGTTTTGACTTCTTTTCTCTTTCTCGAGAAAGAAAAAAAGAAAGATATATGGATGGAGAGAAAAAAAGAAAGAGAGAGAGAGAGAGAGAGAGAAAGAGAGAGAGAGAGAGAGAAAGAGAGAGAAAGAAGAAGAGCCAAAGAAAGGTACAGTATTCTCTTTTTCCCTCTTTCTCTCTCACTCTCTCTCTCTTTCTCTTTCTCTCGCTTTCTCGCTTTCTTGCTCTTTCTCTCCCCGATCACGCATTAGTATTCCGTAGCAACGTCGGACATTGCTGCGTTTGCCTTCGATTACCTACTACCTTTCTCGAAAATATCGACCAGCCCAAGGAACTCTCGATACGCATCCTCTCTCGCAAAAATTCTTTCCTTACGGGACTCCTTTATTGACGTAAAATCGAACGAGAATATCGTTCGATCTTCGAATCATCTCTCTCGTTTGAAAACATAATTTATCGAGAAATATAATTGGTAGAATCTTGAGCAAATCAGATTTCAAATTTACCCGCCAAAACTTGCTTGTACACTTGTGACAGGGATGTGGGGGTAGTTTGAGAGGGTAGATCGGACCAAGGGAAATCTTATGACGTGCAACACGTTTGCGAATGACGTTTCGAAGATAACTCGGATGCGGAGATGCACGTGGTGGTGTTACCAGTGCAGTGGTTCTCATATCATTTCTTCTTAACCTCTTTCATTTTATTTCTTCTTTTGATATATAAGTTGACAACCACTGAGGGACAGGTGTCCGAGCTTGCTTTCCAGGAAGCCGTCTGCCCTACGCGCCCTCGCCATCGAACCTTCTCCCTTCGATACCAACCTAAACATTAGTTCCATGCTTCCATTACTCCGACTTTTCCAATTTACCGAAATAAATAAATAAGTACGTATTTAACGCGAATTTATGGTTATTTGTTTATTTTATTTTATTTTCTTTTTTTCTTATTTTACTTTCATGTTTATCTCTCATCTTTTTTTTTCCTTCGTTGTCATTTTCTCCTTTTATTTTTCTACGATTTAATTACATTACTTTAACGATTTGATATTACATTTATTCGATAATTTTCATTGAAAGACAATGTTCAAATTGAAAGAAATTCTAATCCTAAAAGAAGGCGTGACGATAGTTGAAATAACCATCGTTATCTTGTTAAATTCACGTAGATTAAGATCTACAATATAACGAAGATAAGTATAAATTATATTCCCACGCTTTACCTTAATGACCATGACTAGTTTATATTATAGTAATGTACTATGTATATACATATATGTACAAGTAAATGTATTACTAATGTGTTATGGTATATTTAAATACATTCACAGAATATGTGTGTATAACAACACTGGCATTCTCCTTTCAGTAACTCGAAGGAAGAAAGTGAAAGAACGATTAGTGAGATTAGACGAATGCGTTCGTAAATTATCGATATATTACTTATTATCGTTATTTAACAAAATCTATCGAACTCGTATCAACATAATTTTCTTTATGTATAATTAGCATTATTTTTATTGATTTTAAAAGGAACGACAAAAATTGGCGGGAAATTTTCATGAAATACGAACGATCGATTTTATAAATAAAAATAATAATATAATGACGTTTATTATTGGCAATTTTTGTAAAATCGTACATATTTTAATTCAATTTATAATCAATGTTCTTATTTTTATTTCTCTTGTTAATTATTACCATAGATTATAACCATACCACGAGATCACGATGGTATTCGCGATATATTTAAATCTCATCCATGCTCGTAAATGCAATAGTTGTAGCTCGATCGTTATCTCGAACATTCCGCGGACTCGATCGAGGTCCGTTTCTCGAGTTTCTGTTACTTTGCATCAGGATACTCTGGATGGGGCGCGTTGCCGGTTCTCCGGACGTTCTCCGCTCTTACGTTCTCAGGCTTTCTCTTCTATCTCTCCTTAGAAACCGATCTGCCCGGACTTAACGTCCTTTCACACGTTGAAGTCTCGCGCGAGATAGGTATTGCTTAGAGACGACAACAACGACAACGACGACAACGACGACAACGAC